CCATCAGCAGAGCAACGTATCCCTTCGGCACCTGGCCTCCCTGGACCGGTTGCATTGCCAATGGACGGAGCCCGATCCCGTGCGTGGGCGAGCCTACGCACCTGGGTCAGCCTCCGCTGAAGCTTGCTGCAAAGGCAGCCGCAGCTGCTAAAAGGCAGCACCAAGCACAAAACCATGCGACATCAGTTACGGAGCCCGATCCCGTGTGTGGGCGAACCTACACACCTGGTTCAGCTTCCGCTGCGACCAGCAGGCAGCTACACGCGCGCGCGCCGAGCTGAGGCCATGCACGCGGTGAGAGACAGCCGAGGGCAGCGACCAGCGACCTGACCGACAGCAGCGCAATTGTCTTCCTGGCTCTGGCCTCACAAGGGACTTGTTGCATTGCCGACGGTATCGGGCCCGATCCCGTGCGTGGGCGGACCTACGCACATGGTTCAGGCCCGAACTGGGCGAGAGAGGCTAGCCGTCCACTCGCCTCCGCAGGCGGCGCAGGGGCTCAGGGTCACCGATGCTGCCCTGCCCTGCTGGCTGCAGCCCTTGCTTCAGGCGGCCGAGCACCGCCTTCTGCCCGTCGTTCCTGGGTGCCCTCGGACGCTCCTTCGCCGAGCCCGACATCCTGACACTCTGCGTCAAGTAGCCGCACTTGACGCAGAAGAGGTGGATGCCTCTTCGCCATAACTCGTAGGAGTCGTGCGGATCGAGCCCCCGCCGCGGCGGAAGCGCGGGTGGAGGCGGGGGCGGCGGCTGCGCCACCGGTGCCGCCACCGGTTGCTCGCGAGCTGCCGCGGCCGCGCCGCCGCTGCCAGACGAGGCTCCACCGACCGCCTCCGCCGTCACGCTGATCACCGTCATCTGCTGCTGCTGCGCTCTGCGAACCGCTGGCCTGGCTGGAGAGAAGAGCCGCGCTCGCTGTGAGGAGAGCCGCGGCCGCGGCGACCGAGCCTGCGGCGCCCGAAGTCCACGAGCCCGAAATCGCCTCGCCCCGACCCACGCACTCTTGGCAGGCCCAGAGCGCGTCGCTGCCGACCTCGAGCCATGTCCCACGCCTGCCGCACGTCCTCCGCGAGCAGTCGCGAAAGCTGCAGTGGCTCCTCCAGCGCAGCTTGCATCCATGCCAGTCGCGCCGCGCCGCCGCCATGCCTGGCCCCTCGTGGCCGTCCGCGGCCGTCAGGTCCGCGTCGCCCTCCTGCACGGCGGCGCCCAGCCAGCGGGAGACCTTCCTTGCGAGGCGGTCCTGGCGCAGGCTGCGCGCCCAAACCTCGTCGTCCGTGGGGTGCATCTCCGCGCCCTGAATTGCGCGAGCGTCCGCGCTGCGGTTTCCCCTGCGCTGCCGGGCGGCGACGCGCTCGGCCTGGGCGTCCGCCAGCGTCGCGTGGGCCTTCACCTTCTGGACCGTGACGTCGTCGAGGCTGATGTCCTCGAGCGCTCGCCACAAGCGAACCCATAGCTCTCGGTGGCGTCGCTGCCACTGGAGGCGCCGCGCCATGCCCGCTGCGAGGCCGTCCACGAGCAGCTGGCAGTCGGTGTAGATCCTGACTGGCGTGAGGCAGTCCTGTAGCCCTTCGGTCGCAGCAGCCGGCCCCGCGGCCCCCGACTCCTGTGGGCATGGCCGAGGGGGCGGGCCGGAGATGCAGAGGGCCTCCACGTCGCGACTCATGACGACGGCAGCCCAGCCACCCCTTGCGGAGACCAGGCCAGGGTCCAGGACGCTGCCGCCAGTAAAGAGGTCGCCAGCAAGCGGTTGGCCCACGAGATCGGCGCACCCTTCCTTGCGCGCCAGGTGCTCCTCCGTGGGCAGAGGGAGTGGGCGCCTATGTTCGGGCGCCAGGGCCCTCGACCGCAGCGGGTCCTCCGCCGCGTCTGCGCTGGCCATGTCGACGAGGGTCCCGAAGTGGATGTCGTCGGGCGGCTTCCTCTCGTCTGCGTCGTCATTGGCCTTCCACTCGGCGCGGCCGAGCGCGGCTGCAGGGCGCTGCCGCGCCAGGTGCCGCGCAGTGCCGTGTGCATTGCGCCCGCGAGGGCACCGGGGCGACGACGCCAGCGGCCGCCCCTCTGCGAAGCGGCGCGCCACTGGCCAGAGACAGCCGACGAGCTCATCTGCTTGGCCGCTTGCTGGCTCATCCGCTTGCGGTGCAGGGTGCGCCTGATGCTGGACAGGGCTCCCCCCCTGCGGCCAAGTGCTCCAGGCCAGGGTGCCTGCCCGCGTCCCTCCACTGCGGCCGCCCATGGCTGGCGCCGATGTGCTTGGAGTGGGTCGAAGCGGCCGAGGCCTTCAGGTCGATGGGCTGCTTCAGGTCGTTGAGGAAGAAGCCTGGTCGCAGAGCGTCCCATCCCGGGCGGCGGCATGCCGGCGCGCGGGCCGAGGCGGGGGCCCTGCCTGAAAGGGCCTCAGGCCCCTCCGCGGCCTTCCTCGCCAAGGCCCCTGCGAACGCGCTCCCGGGTGCTCGCGAGTCCGTGCGGTCAGAGTTGAACTGCACCGCCGTGGCCCGCGCCACGATGGGCAGCGTCGCGTGGCCGACGAGCGGGTCGCTGGCCAGGCGCTTGCTGCGGAGGCTCTTGCCAGGCCCTTTGCCGTGGTGAACGGCATTGACCTGCCTCC